TTCTGGGGAGAAAGTTAACATTGCCATTCTTGAAAAGCAAGCTTTATGCACAAAGTAAATTATTGAGCCTCTCACTTGTTCCCTATGATCACACTCAATCTACAAGGTCATAAGAAATGTGATTAAAGTGTTTAACCACTCTATGATCAAAGGTACAAGGCATTGAAACTTGATTTTTCAAGAAAATCACATGTTGAGCTTAACACGTGATTTTAAATTTTGATCAACTTGAGCATTCCAAACCTCTTCTCTATAAATAGAGACACTATTTGCAAGTCAAGATACGAATTGACAAACCCTCAAACTCCCTCAAACCATAATTTTCACAAAAAACTCAATAGCTTGTCATTTCTGACCTTGAACTTCCATCTCACAATCCACTGGTGTGTTTCCTCTTCAAATCAATCACAAAGCTTCCATACATCATATACAACTCATCCTCATCCCTGTTTCACAAATGTAACTCCATCTTCATCATCTTCCAAACTCAAAAATATAACTTTGAACATTGACTTCTCCAGCACGATTCAGGAACTTTCAGCATAAAGTAATATTTGCATTAGCTTCCTAAGACTGCAGTGAATTATCCAGAACATCACAACACCTCCAGAAGTGCTCAAACTCCATACACGATTTCCAGTTTTGAGGTGATTTTTATCAACTTTGAACTCTCTCTATAAGCATCATTAATGGTTACTTTGTGAATGAAAAATGTAGACATCATAGCCATGAAGCTAACCATGCCTTTAGTTTTCATTTATGTTTCCTGAGTGATGGAATTTTGAGTTTGAACTTTCTGAAAAAATTAGGTTTTTATTTGGTACCAATAAAATTCTCATTCATCTTTGATTTATATCTTATGAAATTTATATGCTTTGATTCGTGCTGAAATTTCAAGCAAGTTTCATGTTTACATTTTTTAATTTGGTTGAGAAATAAAGATTTGGCAAAATTTTGAATAATGGTGTTGTTGGTTCTGATACGCGCGCAAGGTTGAAGATGAAGTTCAAAATATTAGGAACAAGTTTATTTTATATTTGATGCAAGTTGTTTTATACACTGATGAAACAACCATCCCAGTGGCAGGAGAAGCGCGCGCGTAAGGCATTGAACTATAGGGACTTGGGTTCGAGCCCCAGTGGTACCCTTTTGTATTTTTTTTCATATTTTTTGCAGATTCAGCGTGTTTAGTTCTCATGAGTTCACCATGTGCCCTCATCTCACCACCACATGATCATCATCTGGTTGAATCCAGCGCTCCATAATGCAAGACTATGGTGCATCATCACAAGCTAGTCATATATAATCACAAACAAGGCGCCTGGGCCTCCTGACCTGGGCCTTTTCTTTTTTGTTTTTACTTCTTCATACCCCCTCTTTTACTAAAAATTGTGCAGGCCCATAACTTTTTTAATTTTTTTTTTTTTCTGATTTCAAACAAATTCATTTTTAGGCCTAACTCTTTTTGCTACCTTTAACCCCTTTTTACCTTTTAACACACAACCCATATATTTTTATATTTTTATTTTTATATATCTATTTATTTATTTTATTAAAGCCAAAAAAAAAACATATATTTTTATTAAATAATCTAATTCAAGCATTTTTTAATTAAATTTTATTATTTCTTTTGCATTGTAGAATATTTTTCTAACTAACATTAACAAAAATTATTTTCTAAAAAAATTAAATTAGATTTAGATTTTATTTTAATTAACTTAGATTTTAGGTTTTGATTAAATAATTAATTAACTTCTTTTGTTAATAAAATTAATCAGTTTAATTAGGTTAACATTAAATCTTTTCCTATCAAAAACCCTACAAAGACAATTTGTTCTTCATCTTTACATTTTGTACATTCTATCATTATTCATGTATATGGTTTGTAATAGATAATTAGGGCTTTTATTGCTTTCTTCTCTCTATTCACAAACTTGTACCCCCCCCCCCCCCCCCTCCCCCCATTTCTAAAGTGTTGTAATAGCGCAGAACATTTAAATTCCGCAATTTATCGCTTTTTCTTATTATTGCTAGTAATTAGGGTTTGCATGACAAGACTTAAAAATCAAACATTAGACACCCCCTAATCCAAGATAAAATAATTGAATCCAACACACTTTGCACACATGCACCTCTCAGGTAACCCACACTTGTTGTCTCAGATATAAACAGTCACGTCCCTCGAACGTGGGATATTTTAGCAAAGACCCTCGATTAAAAGATTATAGTTCTTCGATGACCCTTCAAATGTTTCCTTCGGTAAATGATCTTAGTCCCTTACGATAAATTGCTAAAACATCTTACAAGTTTCCTTCTATGATTGTACGATGACCCATGTCTGTTCCTCACATCCAATGATATGGCTTACTACTAACTAATGGTAGACAAGCACTATCTAAAGAAGGAGGAAAAGAATAAAGATTTTCTGAGTAGGTAGATTGCTCGTAATTGCTTGCTCACAAACAAAACCATTTACACCTCACACTTTCAAAACATCTTTCAAAACAAACATTTTGTATACATTCTCAACGGTACGAGAATCATTATAAAATTACCTTACATTGGCATTTTCAAACACCTTTCCAAACATTCCCTTTCAACAAATATTTTCAAAACCAACACTTTGTATACATTCTCAACGATACGAGAGTCATTGCAAAGTTTGTCGAACTAAGGCGTTTTCAAAATATTTTCAAACTTACACAAACACTAAAGCATTTCAAAGTGAGCTAGCAATTAAGAGCCCGTAGATAACTGCGGATGAAAATGATGCTAACACCTTTCCTTTTCAAAACCTACCCCCCGAACTCAAGAAAATTCTCAAAAGGTCTTTCATGTTCTTTTCAACCTTTCCTTTATTGGATAAAAGAAAAGGCGATGACGACTCTCGCTATCCGCAACATTTACAATAAAAACGCAAAATACCCAAGTCAGTTCTCCCACCGTATTACACATCTTAAACAAACTAGCCCACTCACAAATGATGGTTAACAACAACATTTTAATTTGTTCTAATTTAAATCCATTCCTTTAGATAAAATGTAATTAACTAATGCAGAAAAATTAAGAGTCTTGACTCTTTTAGAAGTGAAGTACCAAGCAATACTGCAAATTTATTTTCATAAACGCAATGAAATCCCTCAAAACTATACCCATTACCATATAGCTAAAAATGAAATAAGTTTTGAATGAGAACTCATACTGGATAACATTAACAATCATTGTAAATCTAACCTGTTTTGTGAAATAAGAACTCTGGTCCGGAGTATGACGACGGAAGGAGGAGGCAGACGACGACGGAGGCAGGCGGAGGTCGTATGAGAACGAAAAGCAGACCACGACGGAAAGTTTACTAACGCACAGCCGATTCAGTCGAGAGGGAGCCGCTCGACAGTATGATGATGGTGGAGGAGGAGACGGAGCCAAACAGGTTCAGATGTGGAGATGGAGGCAACTGGTTCGGAGGCGGAGACGCAGTCGGTCCGATCGAGAGAGATGAAGGTTGGAGGCGCGCATCAACGAAATGAACTTTTGATAAGGATATTAGGGTTTTGTGAAATAAGAGGATGTTTTTACATTGGTTAGCCAATGGGCCCGATGTAACAGTCAATATGTTACATCGGTTGGGCCTATAAACCGATGTAAAGTTTAATTTTTTTATAACAAAAACTCATCTTATTTACAAAACTGTCACCGTGTTTTTATTTATTTATCACTGGACTTTTCACATCGGGGGTAAATAAAGGTCCGATGTAAAATCCTTTAAAAAAAATTTCTTTTTATTTACCAAACTGTCACCTTGTTATATTTTTCTCTAAATCATATATTTTTCATATCATGAGAAATAAAGGTCTGATGTAAAATCTTTTGACAAATATTTTTTACATCATATATTTTTATATCTGACGTGAAGGCATTTTTCTCAAATATCATATTTTTAGTAGTGTTGTATGTACAAAAGAGTAAATGACTATGTAACTAAGACTTTAGGTCAATAGTCGTAGTGAGACTATATTGAAAGTGACAATGAATGTAAGTATGGCCATGGTAGTCGGATGACAATTTTATTCACTCCAAGTGAACATTTTCAAAAATATTCACAACAAATTAGATAAAAATCAGTAAAAATGAATACAGGTATATATTTGAGTAAACGGGTATGAGTATCTTATTCTCTATTCCATCTCATACCCGCACAATATATATTTATATATTTTTTTTAATTATAATGTAAACATAATAATTTATCTATTTTATTAAATACATCACTATTAAATTTGTATTCATCTTAAAATAAATGTTTGTTTGTTTCTTAACTAAACAATAATATTTTTGAAATTTTTTAATGTTGTTGAAAATATTTAAAATAACATGATAAATTATAACTGATCCATTGTTTTTTATTAGAAATGCAAGTAAACAAAGATGTGTATAGGTACTTAGATATCCATAAAATATGGATACGACTATAAAAATTGATGTCCACGCTGTTATGGGTTTGGGAATGAGAATTTTTTCAAATTACAAATATGAAAACGAGTACTATAGTACCTTGCTCAAACTCAACCCATTGTCATTCCTAAATTTACTCGTAGTCAAAATTTTTAAATGAATGTCATCCTTTAAATTATTATTTTCTAAAATCATACGTCATTATTATAATTAAAAATCAACTTTCCTAAATTTTATAAAAGTATATATCACATAAAAATCAACTTTAATAAAATTTCTCAAACTAAATCACATCAACATTTGAGCTCTCAATTTTAGTGTAGATATTGGTGTGCTATATCTATGCATTATAATATGAGTTATTGCAAGAGGAAAACATAAGAAAAGAAAAATGAGCCAAACCCATATAATTAAATTAATCCTATTCAAAGTTGAGAACTTGTCTCAATTATTGATATATATATATAATATATATATATAATATACCTGAGAAAAGGATACTAGTACTACCACATATTCTTGCTGAGTTTGAGTTTCCATCTCTAGTTATGTTAGTCAACACCACTGCTACAACTCCAATCTCTTGTGAAGTCAAGGTCTGTACCCTGAACTTTAATGCCACCATCACCAAAAACTTGTTATTATACTTGACTCAATTTTTCACTTGTGTAGTTGCACCGTTCAATATGCACGGAGCTTCAAGGTTTAATTGATAGAATTTTGCATATTATTCTATCTATTGAATCTGCAAGACCAAATTGTGCCTTAGCAATTCAAACACTGTGCTCTTTGCACTTCACTTTGGATAAAGCCAAGTTAGTTATCAAACACTGTTCTGAATCCAGTAGACTCTTCCTGGTAGCTTCTTCTTCAACTTGAAACCTTACTCAATTTTATATGCAAAGTTATCTTAAATAATAACCTTTTTATTTGCAACCTGGTTAGGCAATTACATCACAGAAGATAGTTTCAAGATGTGAAAAGATAAGAGTCTCTTTTGAGTTGTACTTGGATCAGATTCGAAATACTGTTCCAATTCCATTAGCTTCTGAGGTTAGTGATTACTTATTCATAACAACTCATTAACAATATAATTTGTGCTGCATATTATTAACATGATGACACACCTCTGAACAAAGACATGTCTAGTGTTTTACTTATGTCAGGATTTGATCACACTGATACATATGCGATTACGTTTAATTTAGTATCGGAATGTCTCTATTTCAATGTTTAGTAGGTTTGCAACTTGATAATTATGACTTTTGGAATTGGCCTACAGATATGTGCAATACTAGAGGATCTAAGGGATACAAAATTTTCGTTGGAGTTTGAAGATGAGACTAGGAAAGTTTTAGTTTCACTACTTGAGAAGGAATTTCCAGATTCAGCTTCTAAAGAGAATGCAGAACTTGAAGCTATTCAAATTGCAGCTTTGAGGTTGGATATGAAGTCTCCAATCTCTCTCTTAGAGGAGAAAGAAAATCTTAAGAAGCAAATTGAAAAAGTCAAGAACGCAAACAAAAAAGAGAAGGAACTTCTAGAATACCTTTTGTATTTGTTGATTAAATATGAGAATTTTATTTGAGTTTCAAAATGGTAGGAATGTGTGTGAATCAAGTCAAAGATTCTAACAACCAAAAAGTTGGAAATTTATGATTATTTATTGAAGCATTATTATTGTCTCTTGACCATTAAGACCCATTTGATATGAGAAGAAAATTGTGTAGGATGCAACTTTGCAAGACAATTAGAAAGATACACACTAAGTTATTCAACTTTAGTGATAAAGGAGTTTTTGTTAAAGACAAATTATTAGAAAATATCGGATTTGATTTTTGACGGGAATAATGTTTTGAAGAAGTGAAAAATACAAGAAGGGGGGTTGAATTGTAAACCTTGAAATCAAATGCAGACAACACGTTATTTTTATCCTGGTTCGTTTGATCTCAAACTACTTCAGTTCACCCGTCAATGTGATTTCGCCTCTCTCCAACGAGGTCTTAATCCACTATATTCAACTGAATATTACAACTGTTTTAACAACTGCTAAAGCCTTCTTGAGTCTAAACCACAGACCGGTTTCTCAAGGAAATTCTTTCTTACAGATAAATGAAAACTATGTGTGTGGAATGTTTTCTACAAAAAACTCTATATCACACCTGTGATAATACACAAATTAAGCTTATGTGAAACTAGGATGCTATAACTATGGAGTAGGCAATTTGAGAGATATAGCAAATTTTTTTAGTGAGGATGAAAATGATTTGCTTTATGCGTGTGAAGAGTTGTAGAGCATTAGCCAATTCATTTCTCACTGACTTGTTTATATAGCATTTGGAAAAGATACGTTGTAGTCAATTATGCAATTTCAATGTCCATTACGTTCTTTCCATATTGAGAAGATCTTTGTCTTGGAATACAGCCGTTGGTAATAAAGTGTCTTGAATGCACAGTACCGTTGTCAACAAAAGCGTGTTACTGGCTTTGGCTTATTCTGACGCTTCTAACTGCTGATGATATTGTTGTGGTCTAGATCAGAGTTTAAGGTATGTTACGCGCAGATCTGATCATCAAGCTTTAGCGTAAGCACATGCTTTGATCTTCTGATGCTGGCATATGATATTTCATCTTCTGATGCTGGCGTATGATATTCCATCTTCTGGTGCTATCCATTAGAGTTTCTGTAAATGCATAATATTATTTTTAGGTAGCATATATGTCTCATATGAATTATACAATTTATTTAATCTAGCATTTTGTTATCATCAAAACTTTAACTTAGGGTAGTAGATTCAAACTTTGTTCTAACAATCTCCCCCTTTTTGATGATGACAAAAACCGGATATTTTCAATTGAAATTTAAAAGGAAAAAATAAAAAAATATCAGAGATAACCAAATAATAAATTGTATCAGAGATAGACAGATAGGTATCAAAGATAAGGAGGAATAAAAAGGTATCAGAGCTTAAGAAGATAAGAAAAAAAACTATCAGAGTTATGATCAGAAAAACTCCCCCTGAGTTTATTACTTCCCTTTTAATTCCATGAGTCCTTTAGCATCAGATCTTTCTTGAACTTTCTTTTGAGCATCAGATCTTTCGTTTACTAGAGCAGAGCTTCAGTGTATCAGAGATAATTAACTTCTTGTACCTGTAAGCTTATGCAGAACAAGGAAACATTCAAGTATATCAGAGTGTTAGAATGTTTGAGGCTTTTGTCTCAGTAATATCCGTTATTGAAAAATATTCTCTTTCTCCCCCTTTTTGTCAGCAATCAAAAAGTGCCAGTAATCTAAGTTAAAAACGATCAGTGCAGAAAAACTATTGTATTTAGTTCAAAGCTTAGAAGATAGTACAGATAACATGTAAAGAAAACAATGAAAACATCAAGAAACAAAATCTAAGGTTGGGGTGGAAGGCGTGTGAACAGAGCTTCTAGCATGTTCTTAATTTGATCAGCGATTTCCTTCTGCTGATGCACCATGCTGACTACTGAATCAATCTTACTATCTTGAACATCCATCCTTTCCTTCATTCGTTGATCATTCTCATCCATTCTTTTCTGCAGACGAATATCATTTTGCTTCAGCTCTTCAAGGGTCTGCCTGTCCAATGCAGCTTGAGAGACGTCAGAATCAGGATGCTTCTGAGAGCTTTCTGCAACATCTTCTTCTTGACTAAGATCTTCAGCTGGAATCGTCTGATCTTATGCTGGTTGAACTGTTGAAGCTGGACGCTTTTCAGACCAAGACTCATTGTCCAGATGAAGCACTTCCTCCTTCAGCAGCTGACTCAAGACTGGACCTTCAACTTCTTTCAGCAGATTGCTGAAGTTCTGTTGAGCCTGTTCATAGTTTAGGTCTTGCAGCTTAAAGGTTTCAGCGCGTACCCAACCTCTGAATAGTGTCCAGAGTTGGTCTGAAACAACAAGATCAATCACTCCCGGACAAGCCTGCTTTAGAGAAGAAATCCAATTCTGCATGTCTGTTTCAAAATTCAAGATGCTAGAACCAACATCTGGTTGTTTGGGTTTGGGAATGGCGGTTTTATTTTTAAGGGCAGCAAGGCGGTCAAGGACTGTTAGATCAATGAAGGTCTTGCTGTGGTCATCTGGATTTTGTTTGGGTGAGGGAGTAGGAGAATCAGAAATGATTATTGGACTGTGTGGAGTGTTAGGTAGAGTAGTTTCTGGTGAGGATGGTAGTTGAGGTATGTTTACAGTTGTACCACAAGGCAGTTGAATGGCCAAGGGTTGTGGTTCAGAGGATTCAGATGATTGAGGTTCAGGGGTTTGAGCCTCAGAGTGTTGAGACTCAGAGTGTTGAGGTGAGGGTGGATTAAGTTCTGGTTGTGGAGATGGAGGTTGTGGAATTTCTGGTTGTGGAGATGGAGGTTGTGGAATTTCTGGTTGTGGTGAGAGTGTAGTTTCTGGTTGAAGTGAGTGGGAAGATTCTGGTTGAGGGTTTGGATTTTCTGTATTGGGAGCGGAAGAGTGTTGATCAATTTCTGAAAAAACTTTTTCAAGTTCAGGTTCTGTTGAGGTTGTAGGTTTGGCGCGGGATCTTCTGAGGGTTAATAATTCAGAAGGGTCAAACTCAGGTTCAGTATCATCAATGGTTGGAATTGGGATTTCAAATGAAGTTGGGGTTGGAATAAATGTTGGAACAGCAGATGAATTTAAAACATTAACAGAAGACAGATTACCTCTCTTCTTTGGGGTCTGCTGAGACGGTCCTTCTGATGCAGCCTTTCTCTTCTTAGTCTTCTTCAAAGTAACCTATGGTGTTTGTTGGTGCAGATCTTTGATGTTCAGATCAGGATTTGTGCCATCAGCTTTACACGCATCCAAGTATCTGAGAACAATGACTGGTTTAGAGTCAATCTCAGAGAACATAGGAAAGTCGTCCAGAGGGACTCTTCTGCTGGTGATTTCAGCATGAGGAGTGACGCTGGGCTCCTTCCTTATATTCTCTATCAGCTTCATCTTCTTCAGATTCTTGGCATTCAGCTGCTTGCCAACAGAAGGTTCTAGAGATCTTATTTCCTGTGCCTCTGTCAGGTGTTCAATCAGCCTATTCTCCGTTAGAATATCTGATATTAATCTGCCGAAGGGTATCCAATCCCTTTTAGTCCTTTCTTCCTCTCTCGTTTCCTTGACGGTTGTCTTCAGATGATTGAACAGAAGGTGAGCAAGGTTGATCTTGGACTTCTTTGCAATAAAATAAATCAGAAATTACTGATCTATGTTTATATAGTCAGGAGAGCTTGTAGGCTTCCTGTGGTTGAAGCAGCCCAGAATGATCTTTGCCCAGATTCTGTGTTGATCCTTCAAATCTCTTATTTTGCTGCTGGGAACCCCATGTGTGAAAATCTCTCTTGCAATTAGGGCAGAGTTTGCACATCTATCTGCCATGTCAATACAGCGGATACCACCACCATTGTATCCAATCAGCCTTGCGATGTGATCCTCAGTAATCACTATCTTCTTTCCCATGATATACGAAGTAAACTGATGAGTTAAGGCAGACGCATGAATCCAGAATTCTTTAACCAGAATTGGGAACGTTGGACCCACCAACCTATCAAAATACCTTTCCCATCCTTGTGCCTTAATTTCTTCAGTCAAATCAAAACCATTTTCCTTCAAGCTGTTGAAATCTACTATCAGTTCTGACAGAACCTCCAAGTTCTTGACCGGAGTAAGGAGCGTTCTGAAGGGAATCTGATACTGTTCAGAAGAAGCATCTTGCTGGGAACCTGCAGATGGAATGCTAGAAGATTCCATGTTCACACAAGGGTTTGAGAGACAAAGTTTGAAAATGGTTTCTTTGAGGAAAAAGATGAACACACAGTAAGAAGTGAAAAACGCAGTAAGAATCACAGAAAGATGTTGAAGATTGTAAGTGACGGTAAAAGTGAATGAATGATGTTTAAAGCGTTTAAATAGGTTTCAAAAAGTGTTTTGAAAATATAAATGTTTTAAGAGAGAGAATTAAATCATGATTACTAGCATTTAATGTTGGCTGATTTTGGGGGATTTAGAGAGATATTTGGAACGGTTACCCATGACATGTGTCTCAATGCATCCAATCAGCATTTTGCCTTCTCAGAAGCGTGCACGCGTGTTCTGCTTCAGAAATTAGCTGATGACTGGATGACACTTGTTTGATTTGGTGAACAACACATCTATCCTTGAAGTGAAACACTCAGATCTTTATGGATAGATTCTGATACAATCTGCATGTCTAACTTTCTGAAAGAAGATTGATCAGAAGTTCATAGTAAAATAAGACACATTCTGAAGGTTAATATATAAAATTAAACCATTTTCACTCTGGGCAGAGCTTCATACTGAGATGTTTCAGAATGAAGTTAAACCTATCTTCAGAAAGTGGTTTTGTGAAAATATCAGCCCATTGATGGTCTGTATCAATAAATTTTAAGTTTAAAATGCCTTTCTGAATATAGTCCCTAATGAAATGATGTTTTATTTCTATATACTTAGCCCTAGAATGCAAAATGGGATTTTTACTTAAGCAAATGGCAGAAATGTTGTCACAGAGTATAGGAATGTTACTCTCAAATA